TATATATATTTCTTTTTTTAAATAATAACTGAAAACTATAGATTAATTTATTATTAACTAAGCTCGCTATGCTTTGTTTTTCATATTTTCATATTACAATACTTGCAAGATAACGGCCGTAGTGTTACGTTATGTGCTTTGATATCGATCAAAGTAAATTACCCATTCAGACATTTCATGGGAGTCAGCATTTCGATGATGATAGTTTAAGATGAGAATCGTGCTGACCACGCTGCTGGCTACCATAAACATGATGCAATTGAAGTACGTTCCTGAAAAGTATGAGAGAATAATTAAATATAAGAATATGATTTGAAAATTAGTCAAATTAGCAAGCAAGCGATAATTATAATATCACATATTATCCAATTAATGTAAAATTCGAAAATTTGTTAGTTGATATATTTTAACACGATTAATTTCTTTCTTTAAGCGTCAACTAAACGTAAGCGTCAAATTCACGCTTCTCTCTGCATATCAAATAAATATAATTACATTCTCTCTCAAAAATAATTATGATTTGATATGTGATATAAATACTATGTATATGAATATTATAGATAATAATAATATCATTTTATAGAGAAAGTAATTATTCAATTATTCAATTACTTTATAATTATAAATTATGAAACGTATATATATAATAATTAGAAAAGCATATGATATTTATTTCAATAATAAGGCAATGAAACTCAGTTGCATGTCTTTTTGCCTCAAGTGTTTCATAATCGGGGAGCATATCTTAGAAGAGTGCAAAGATAAAACCCTTCGTTTCTTCTTTCCCTATCATTTTCCACTCGAATGGTTTACGATATAGGTGATCAATCACGCTCTGCTTTCTCATATTAAAAAATTAATCATATTGAAAATCAATTAAATCGAGCTCACCTAAAAGCGGCACAGCGTCAGACGTCGCCGGCATTGTCTCGGCAACCATATTCAGGAACACAGTGAGGGACAAGAGGATGGTTACTCCTACAAAAGAGGTTCGTTGGCTTCGATTAATTATCGAGTGCTTCAAAGAGGTGGCCAAGCGAGATTAACCCTCGGCCCTTGAACGCTCGAAGAGCCTTCAATGCGTAACAACCCCATGTTGAAGGCGCTTCGATTCTCATCTTAAAACGATATATGATGTCTCCGACCTCATCGTCACGAACGCAGTGACAGATAGTCGCAAAAATATTCCATATATTTCTAGTTAATAATTCTTTGAGGTATTAATATAATTATTAAAAATTTTGTGGCGTAAAAAATAATGTAAATTAAAAATAAATAATGTAATATTTTGACAATTTTTTTATTTTAATTAGCATCTTAAATAAAAACCTTTGAAGATGATTTGCACTTGAAGGATCTACAGTATCTCAATCCGTCACTGTGTTCGAGCTTTGAACTCGGCACTCATTCGCGCTGCCACAGCGTTAAGAGGCGCTTTCAAATTATTTAGACTTTCAAAACGTCGCGGCAGATGCCTCATCTAAATATCAGATGTTACTCGAGTTTTCTCGAAGCTCGCGATGTAACGCGTTGAAAGGTGTTCTCAAGTCCCTTAGAGACGAAGATCAATTACGATAAAAAAATATTGTTTTTTTTCTGTTTGTTTTCTCTCGGATAAAATGTTTACATTTCTTTTATTATATCCGATAATTTACATTACATTGAGACCGTTAAGATAATATGTGGGTTAAAATTATATATGTATATATATTTTTTTAATTAATTTTTGAATTAATTAATAATCAATCCTAAGAAAAGACTTGAAACAAAGTTGGCTTATGTGTCGTTTTACTTATAAATGTTAAGGCGATCACTATAGAGCGACATTGCTATGGAGAGACGTTATTATCATACTTCGATCTAGAAATAGATATGAGTTTCGAAGGAACTCGCAACGGAGACGATTGCAATTGCTCGACATTGTCATTCCATTGTCGCCGTATCTCCGCGTCGACGACGGCGATTGTCGCGATCGCTTCCAAATTCGTCGAAGATTCACAGTAACGCGCTTGCATGCTCGAAGAAACTCGACGTCCTGAATAGAAGGCTTGCTGAAGTTGGCGCGTCGGGACGCCGTTTCAATCGGGATCGAAGCGAAATCTAATCGCGTAAACGCCCGATGCGCTTAGCAAACTCTGGCGCATGACTCTAATCACGGGAGCGTTTACACGGTAGTGCGAGGCGAGGCGGGCAAGGAATCGAAATTATGCAGCTGAGCGGATTCGAGCTGTAGGAGGCAAAATTTCTACCGAGCATCCGGCTTCTCGGTGAATTCCAGGACTACCACGCTTACGAGATAACAATGAAATAAATTGTGTCATGGATAGCGCTAACGTAATCATTTTCTATTTGTGCTTCTACAACTATAATGATATAACGACTACGCGTGCAAGAGAAAGTCTGAAATCACTTTATTATATATCTTGTGCAGGTTAGCAATAAAACTACAGTATTACATTTTTCCGGGAGAAAATTCTCTGCCAAATTAATCATCATCAATCGATTACTTGTCACTACAAATCTTTCATTTTAATTTAATTTGTTAAATTTATAGTAACTTTTAGAGAAAATTGTTGAAAAATTGAATCAAACATACTGGAGAAAATCATAAAAATAAATATAAATTTATAAATTAATTACATAAGAAATAATTTTTATATTTAATAAGAAACAAAATTGTGAAAATTTTTCATGTCTGAAACAAAATTTGTTATTAGGACAAAATTTGTCCTAAGAGAATTGATATTCTTTTCTGCAAACGTGCCATATAAAAGATATAGATTTGCACGTATTAATAAAATTAATATTATAGAAATGTGAATCTCACACAAGTGTTCATCTTAATTTGATATTGAATTTGTACCTTTGATCGTTCTTTATTGAATTGCGCGGTGACGTAAAATCGTATTCATAAAGCTTGGACTCAACGAATCAAATTTTGGTATAGTATTTCGTACGGAATTTTACCGATTCTAATTTCCACGTCAAAACTCGATAAAGTCCTCGCGGTATTTGATTGCGGAAGAAATTCGCGACGACGCGTTGCAGAATAGTTTCTTCCCGGCGCGGCTTCCGGATGAATCCGCCGGAAGTAGGTCGGACCTAATCGCGTAAATGTCTGATGTTCTTAACAAACAGGGACGTGCCTAATCGCGAGAGCTCGAATTTACGAACTGTTGGGAAGGGAGCAGTTGGAGTTTTGCATCGAGTTGAAACTTGCCGAGGGAGAGTTTCTCGCCGGAATCGGGTGGCAGGGTGAACCCGAGGACGGCCATGCTGGCAATTAGAACGCACGGAACGATCAGGTTGAAAAAGTAGTAGAGTGTGCGTCTTCTGATGATGACGACGAAAGTGATGTCTATGTACGGTTCCGGGCAGCAATTGTAATAGATTTCGTTTCTCTTACCAGGTACTCCTAAGCAAAATAGAAATGGGAATTAATATTATATCAACATATTACTTTTTACGTTAATATAACTTTTAATCGTGAAAGCGCAAGCAAAAGATCAGAGCTATCGAAAAATGCAATAATCTTCTTTCTATGTTTTTTCTAGATAGAAAAATCATACATATATTAAAGAGTTTATATATTGCTAAACATTGAAAGAGAAGTTTGTGCACTTTAGGATTGAGAAATGGATATCACTTTGAAATTGAAAAATTAATGGATATCACGAAATATCAATATCGAACTGATATTTCGAGCGAGTGATTTTTCCACCGCTTTGTGAATGGCTTTCGAAAGCGAATATATACATTTGAAATTTTTATATTCAAAATTAAAATTTTTAAATGGATATTCAATCTAGCGCTTACGCTTATGACGTCGCGCACACGTGTAGAAATAATCGATACTGTCAATAAAACGAAATGCGCTATCGAGCGTAACAAAAGATTGCCAGAAGCGAAAAATGCCTGTACTCTACTCCCTTGAATTATCCTGTGCAACAGGGCAGAGAAAAACGGACGATTCTATCTTACACTATTCCTCCGGGTACAAAACGGTGCGCTCTACTGCAGCCGTAGTTGCTTAAGATACATTTCTACCGCGAGTCTCTTAACTTGGGCACATACATTACACGTGTACGCCGACCTACGCGATTCCCACGCGTAATGCATCGTACAATTTTTCGAGAGATACACGAGATACGGAAAGTGAAGGTTCATGCTCTTGTATTAAATGATAAAAATTCAAGAAACGCTACGCGCGCGTGCGTTTCTTGAATTTATCCACAACAAAATTATCAACAGCAAATTATATATAATCGAACAATGCATCATAATTATAAACCAGATGTTTCTACTTTTGTGCTGCAATTCCAATATGAAGCTAGCTCCACTCTATTAATTAAAATTAAACATTATATTATTTTATTAAATTGCAGTAAAAAATATAGTCTCGCAAATTTTTAAATTTTGCAGAGATATTAGATGTCTATTAAAAGCGGATTTCAAAAATAAAATTTATTTTGTAGATTGTATAATTGTGATCGACAGCCACTGTATGTGGGCTGCCGATTTAAGCGTAAGCTGATTTTTGATATATGCAAAAATTTTACGAATTTTATTAATATTAGAATAAAATTTAATACAAAAGAATATTTTATTACGTAATTCGCGGATTTAAGCAAAAGTTTTGCATAAATAGATTTTCGCTAATAATTGTATGTATGCATATCTATTTATGTACCTATATATATATATTATTATAAAATAAATGTTCACGACGGAAAATGCTATATAAACATCTGTGAGTAAAATTCATAATTTAAATCTTGGCTTTTAATAAATTCTCAGGCGATTATTCAACGATTGTGACAAGCTAGTATTCGAAATGAGATGCTTCGTCGTAATTCCGACACTTTACCGATCGCCCGATGTGTGTTCGCCAACGAAAACACTAAACTCAGGGCGCGCGCGAAGGGAGCCGCGCCGTGTCTCCTCTTCTCCCCCTCCTCCCCGTTTGACCCAGATACAGGCAATTTTGACAGGGACAAAGCGAGGATCAATACCGTTTCCGATTTGCGAAACGATTGATCATCCGCCCGTGGCCGTGCAAGACTTTAGAATTGCTAATCGGCCGGGAATCACTTTCGGTGCAAACTATCCGGGCGTGGCAACGGTCCCCTTCGATAAGGACTGTAAAAACTCACCCAACAAATCCCACTCGCCGTTAGTGATGAAACTGCTGATGTCACCCCCGCCCTCGTCTTGCAGCTGCAGATCCAACTGTCGACAATTTATGACGGTCGATTAGAGAAAACTTATTGCAACCGCACCGCATGTAAGATGACTGTTCTGTTTCAAAAGCGACGGAAAAATCTCTTCTATAGAATGACTGAGATACGGCAACTTATTTTTTAAAAGAAATATCATGAAATTTTTTAAAACAAACAAGAACTGCGCTCTCCAGATGTTTGCAGAGCACTCTAAAGTTAATTAATATTAACCTGATCTCTAGAATATTTTTAAATAAACATTATAACTTATTTCTAAAAATATCTGAAAATATTTTTATTTATTTACACCAAATACATATAGGTAATCAATATATTTAAGAAATTAGTATATTAAGAAAGAAAGAAAGAAAGAGAGAGAGAGAGAGAGAGATGCAGAATAAAAATATATATAATATATTTAAATAATATTATTATTTACTGTGATAAATACTCCGTCGGGTTTTTGACTTCATATAGTCAACTTTGTATAGTTTTGTCGATGTAACTCATATGAATTCATGCATATTTACGTAGGCCAATATGAAGCTCCCGCAACTTCTCGCAATTTTTGCCCGTTTGAATATCGATGCAAAACTTTTTTTCTCGGTGGCGTTTGAGCGCACAATCTACGGCGAATTAATATCTGGGTGCGAATTGTTAAGTGAGAATGGACGATTAAATCGAAAAGTCTGTTTTGCATTTCGTATTCAATTGATCGAACCGAGGTCGGGAAAATCGTGGTGCACTTCGCTGTCTCCCTTGCTTTTGCGCCGCGCTTCAATTACGTTCTGCTTATTGTCTTTCTTAATGAACCTCCGAGCGTTCTCGAATTGCCCGGCACCAGTGTAATTCGCATCTTGAATTTTAATTATTCCGAAGTTGCACGCTCGACAATTAAACTCGCCGCGTACATTAGTCGTATGGTAGAAACGCATGTTGAATCGGTATTGCACTTTTGTCATTATAATAGGACTATTATATAATTATCATAATCGGATATCATGCTATGCATTGTGTTTATTTCTTTTAATACAGAGAGAGAGAGAGAGAGAGAAAGATAAAGAAAGAGAATAAAAAAGATTTTATCACCAATTTTGATATAGTACCTACTTCTTTTATAAAAAATATGGTGAAATATTGACACACATAAGAAAATATACTTTTTTTATTTTTATATAAAAAGTAATGTTATAAATTATTAATGTTTAAATATTTATCGTTAATCGGTTATTAAATTATTTATATTTTATTTATTGATTTGTTTTAATTTAACAATTTTTATATAGAAACTGTGATCTAAAATATAATATAAATTCTTCCATTTTTTTTACAAAATTTATTTGGAATAATGCTATCATAATTTTGCTTTTATAATATTTGTTTAAAGTTTAAAATTATTGAAAGGGATTTTTCTGTAATGTATTGAGTTGTAAGAATAAAAGTTGTAAAAATTTTGGATGTCGTTCTCACGTTCATTGTTCTCTAAACGCATACTCTACAATTCACAAATTTCCTGCAATTCACCCTGAAATGGCGTTTGCTGCCTACGCCGTTGGTGATGTTTCAACGAAATGCCGAGAGCATTTTATGCCCGTCTCGGTATTCCTAGAACGTATATAGAAATAGAGAATACCATATTTCTTGAACATTTTCCAGAAAATGTTCCAAAACATGCGTGCATATTGGTGTTTCCACAAAAAGTTATGATAAAAGAAATTAACAGAATATAAAAGTGGAAAAATTTTCATTATACCAATATTTGTTGTCGTAACTGAGATAAAACTGAAATAATTATTTTTCTAAAACAAAAATATCGAGAGAGAGATATGAGTTGACTTCATCGTTTAATTACATCGTAGAAAAAATTATTTATTACTAAACGGTCTCTCTCTCTCTTTCCACTCTCTCTCTCTCTCTCTCTCTCTCTCTCTCTTTATCTCTCTTTATATATTTATCACTCTATATAGAGAGAATCATATATCATACTTTTGATCCAAATAAATAATCATTCAATGCAGTTGAGATAAACGAGCGCAATCTCAAGAACGCTAATTCGACTTGCGTCGGGTATGGCGGAAAATTCGCTGCTGTTATCCGATCGGAGTACTTTACTCAAAGTCCGCTCTGTTCTTAGGAATTTCATGGAATGTTCTCGCGAGCGAATCTCGCATTGGCAAACAGCGAAGATTCTCTCTTCTTCTCTTTCGCTCTTTCGCCCGCTCTCAGGCGCTAATCAAACTCTTCGATGCCGTTGCTTTAAATTATTTCCGCGTCCCGAGACGTTTCGACGAGAAGTGCCGACGTGCTTCCGACAGATTGGAAAATTCGTAAGTTCGATGTCAATGTCGAGCGAACGTATCAGGGAATGACGATTGGTTGACCCAATTCCGGTAATGTCTATCCCTTATGCTCACCTGAAAGCCGTCGTACGTCCAGGAGCCGAATTTCATCTCGCAGCGCTGATCATCAAAGGGAAACCAGGTAATGTCTATCTTGCAAGTGCTCTTGAATATACCGGGCGGTATGTATGAGCAGGTTCCATTGTTCTTTACAACGACGTTCGTGGGATAAGTGCCGTCGAAGCCCTCGTCGGCGCTATAACAACCAACGATTCACGTTAATCTTTCCGTGATAAAATGTAGCAGGCTGTTTTAATCGGTAGATTCGATACGAAAAACTAATTAAATCAGTTTATAAATTTTTAAAAAGCTTAAACGTTTGTCTTATTAAAAAAATTTAAAAAGATAAAATTGGATGTATTTAATTATTGATACATATGCTCTATAAAAATTAGACGATATAAATATAATTATTTTATTGTAATTTTTTTACTTTAAAAAATATAAATTACGAAAACAGACCATTTGAGAAAAATATATCTTTTGTTACATTGATTATATTTTTTGAAAATAAATTGTCTCTTTCTTGTTTTATATTTTTTCTATTGCTTTTATTATTTATTTTATAGAAAAGTTACTCACTATTAATGTAATCCTGTTACATCATAATAGCAATAGTTACAGAAGTTCTTTATTTAATTTTATTATGTCAAACGCATTTTTCGTGATTGAGATAATTCCTGGATACGTGTGAAACATTTGTCTTACTCAAGAGACTAAACAATATTGCAGTACATGTAAGCATAAAACCTAATATCAGAGCACTGATGTCCCCGAAGTAAACCCGTCGGTTTATCCCTTCTCTGCAATAATTTAGAGATAATTTAGTTGTCCCTTCTAATGCTGCTTACAAAGGGAAGCAACGACTATCTACTCTTTTATAATTAATATGTGATGCAATGAATTCAATCTTGCATGTTTTAACATTTATTCGCATAATTATTGTATGAAAGTTACGACATATTTCTAATTCTATATAATCAATCCTAGTTTATTAAATCGTACAAAAAGCATAATTTTGCAATTATTATAATAAATAAAATAGTAAAGAAAAATTATTGTAAATAAATATAATGCATTATCTTAATTATAAATATAACTTTGCAAGTTGTAACAAATTCAAATAGACTTTCTCGATAAAGATAAATTTATAACATTAACAATTTTATTTATATAAAGTTATATTTATAGATGTTGACATATCAATTTAGGTTCATTAAATGTTGTGCTATCGATGATTAATTGCTCTGGAATTTTACTACACATGCTCAGAAAATATGTTGATAATAAATAGTCGCTATAAAAATGAGCCGCCATCGTAACTGTGGAGTGGCATTTAAGTGTGCAATATATTCTGACATCTCGTGCAGTAAAATAAATTACTGCGAAGGAGCAAATATTATTTTTGCAGAATATCTTTCAAAATTTAGATTGTGGAAGAGAATTCTTACAGAAAATTCAGTTTCTCGTACAAAAGCTTAAGAATGAGTTTTCATGTTATCCCACAATTGCAAGATTGAACATGCAAATATAGTTTTAAATAAATTGTGATATTAGACGACATTTTCTTTATAAAAGTAATTAGATTAATTTAAATTTTAATTGTATATAATTTAATTGTATATAATTTAAATGTTAATTGTATATATATATATATATATATGTATATACCAACTATATATATATATATATATGGAGGATCTATAAACTCTCTTAGCTAATCACAGGAAAATGTGGGAAGAATACATCACAGAAATCTTCTCATCAAAGGAAAGTATTTTTTCTTCGATTCCATTATTGTATATTTACTTAAGATGTCTATTAGAAACAAATTCTCGTACCTTCTCTACTCGAATTTACCACAACTTACGACGACATACGATTAAACTTCCAAGCGGGCGTCACGTTAGAGTAGACTTGAATAGACTAGCAGGAGCTAATTATGGACGAATGTACCCCAGGCCTTTGACGTCCTACCTCGCTTGTCCTACACCCCTTTCGATTACGTTCCATTTGCGTTAACTAACAAGACGAACGCCAACTTTTCCTATACACTCGGACGCCAATTGACGCGATACTTATTTTTGCAGCTTTCCTCAGAGAATTGATTTTTTTATGTTTACGCTATAAAAAAAATATTTAATCGTCTTCATCACTAGAGCAAATCGCAAAAAATATATGAGATTAAATAGTTTAATTACATCTTTTTTTCATCATATGCCGCTTCATTCTTGTCGTGATTACTTCGTTAATTTGGAGTTATCCAAAATTTTTAAATTTCTTAACAACTTTCCATGATGACTAGCTCTCCGCACATTTAATAATGCGCGCAAATGAGATTTTACTGCATACAAAGTGTTAATTAGAATAATATAGTAGCTATTCATTCAAGCAAATATTTAAATTAATATGATAATTAATAATGAAACTCTAAATTAATTTACATTAATTTGTTGACTCCTAAGTAAAGCCTATCAACGAGTACGAGATTATTTTTGCACTTAGAATCGTTGATCAAAAAATTCACCTTAGATAATTAATTTGGTATTAACGTGTGTAATAATAAAGTCATTTACAGAGTACTGACCCCTCCCCCCCCCCCTCTTCATCTTCAAAATAAAAAAATTCTATTATACTATAGACTTAGTTTCTTAATAATACGCACGGTATATTCCATCTTCTTTATTTAATCAGACGTATACGAGCTCGCATTGGCGAGAAAATACTTGTAGGATAGGTCGGTGCACTCAAACCGTGTTACATACTACAAAATAGAGTATTTTACCTTGAGTGCGTGCCTCGTGTGATAACGAGAAAGATCTACGAGAAGTTCGCTTGCGGAATTCCTGAGGCTACACTGAGGCTTTTAGCATCATCGCATTTTGTTGGCGTTGCATTATTTTTATGTAATCTTGAAATGAACCGAAGCTTATTCAAGAAAATAATAAAAACGAAACAACTATTTCACCTTTTAGTTATTAAAATCATCTTCGTCGGAAATTCTTCGTGAGCTTATTGTTTATTTCGCGTGACAGCGCAAATATTATGAAAATAAGCATACTGTGAGATTTTAATTTAAGATTCTTCTAAACTAGATTACATTTTCACTTGGTTGTCATCTTTTATCTGGGAAAATAGCAAATGTAATTCCGTACCATATTCAATTTAAAAGTACTGTTAAATGCTAGATTTATTTAATATCTACCAAAAGTTTTGGAGAAACACGCATACAAAACTCATCTGTTTTTAGTAAAGAATGTTATAACTACGACAAACAAAATAATTGTAACATATATCCTGTAATTTAAAGATAAAATAACAACGCTGTTTTCTCTACAATTTTACAGAAAAAAATTTATAAACACTTTGACTATATTCTCTGACAATTCCGGATGGGCTCCACTTAATAATGAGAAGAGGTAACCTCAGGTTTTCCCTCTCGAATACTTAATGAAATCGTCACGAGATTTCCACGAATCGAGATGAGTTGTTCATTCTCGAGACGTTGCTATCCCATCCCTGTCTCTCCCGCGGGAATAACATCAATGAGTAATACGACTTTCAACGAGAAAGCATATTTAATTATAATCCTGAAAACTTCCATCTCTTTGTAACAATTTTTATAATAATTATTTGCTAATTCTTAATAATTTATTTTTTATTTCATATTTTATTATTACACTCACTGTAGATTAATCTCTAATTTTCTAGAGTTTATAATTTAATATTAATTAGTTGATAATTTTGCCTCTGGCGAGTGACTATTTATCTAATACATTTATTCAGTAGTGTTAATATTTGTATGTATGTTTTTTGTATATATTTATGTAATTCTGTTGCCACAAAAGTTTCGAATTTCTTCTTCTAAATTTTATTAACAAAATTAATTAAATAATAACGATGACAGTTATATATCACAAAAGAAGCACACACACACGCACACACACGCAATTAATTAATAGTAGATACAACATTCACACATTAAAAATTATACGTAAATACTTGTGTCTTGTAATTAATTGTGATTTATATATTTCTGCAATTGTTTTATACAATAATCTAATGAATTACAATAAAAGATAAATAAAAAAAGCTGCCGTTTATATCTAATTATAGAAATGTACACAAATTTATAGAAATGTATATATACAATGTAAATTCTCTCAAATTATATGATTAGTATAATTTTTCACAATATCAACTATCGAATTTCCTTCATTTACATCGAGTTCACTCGATACTCCCACGTGCACCGTATTACTTATCGTAAGGATGAACCCATTATCGCGATAGCAACGTCTCGAGTACCATTCTGGAATTTCTAATGAAATGGTCCCGAAATGAAGGTTCCTACGAATCGATTCACACCCACTCTGAAATATATATACCATCATCCCTTATTCTTTCTGTTTCTTAATCGCTCCTTTGGGAGCCACCGTCTAAAGAAAAAGCATAATCGTGAATGAAAATCGCTTAGACGTGCGATTATGAATATATGTATTCGAGAATGCGGCAATAAAGTATTGAATCAGTGCAAAAGTTGTACTAACTGTTGAATGGCGCTAAAGTTCATGGAACATTTTTGTATATTCAACATCTGAAAGTTCGCGAATATCCCGAGATGCAAGAATATATAACTTCAAGAGTATTATTTGTGAATTGTAAAGGTTGTAAGAAAAGTCTACGCACCTATAGATTATTGAAAAGAAGTTTCATCCTGCATTCTATCTCGAGACACGATTCTTGACTTGAAAATCGCTAACGGCAAAAGTAAATATACGGTTTAAGAGATACTCAATTCTAGCATTGAAGTTACAAAATATGCCATCAAAGTTTTCTCGTGCGCGTAATTGTATCCAGTTAGAGTGAACATAATTTCTCAGCTACAAACGCTCGATGTAAAACGTCACGAGACTCTCGTTTGGATCGATTCACGCTCATTCTACACGCCTTATTCCCTTCTCGCCCCCTAGTTGCTCGCAATCTCACAGAGAAATATGATTTTGAATGAGATGCAACGGGGCGATTCTACGAATATAAGGCGGTTGAATGGTATACATAATATAGTCTCAGTCGCATCCGAACGACGAAGGATTGGTTGGAACATGGCCAGTTGGCCGCAATCCAATCCGTTATTTCATTCTTTTCGAATCCACCCTCTATACCACTCGTCTCGTACTCACTACCCCGCAAAAT